TTGGATTTTGATGAAACTTGGTACATAGATTTTCTGAACTAATGCTAGGTTTTGATTAGTTTTTGGTAATAATCCGTGGATACTAATTACCTAATTTGCATAATGATTAATCAATTTTCGGTTTTTCCACTGATATCTCAAGTACTAATCATCACATTTCAATGAAACTAAAATTATGCAGAGACCCAATTAGTTTTTGGTAAATATCTGTGCATATTAATCACCTAATTTGCATAATTAACCAATTTCCAACTTTCACACTGATATCTCAGGTACTACCGGTAATCATCATATATCAATGAATGTTTATACATGGATGCTGTAGGACAATAGACAGACCTGGATATTTGTGGGTTAAAATCTGTACATATTAATTACCCAATTTGCATAATTAACCAATTTTAAGCTTTCACACTGATATCTAAAGTACTAATTTCCATTTTAATGAAACTTAGTACAAAGATGCTCTAGGACAATGTACAAACCTAATTAGTTTGGGGTAAAACTCTGTTCATATTATTTCCCCAATTAGCATAATAATTCATAATTTTTTTGGTTCTAATCACATTTCAATTAAACTTGGTACATAGAGTTTTTGTTACATTGCGCAGACCTCATTAGTTTTACAATCAAATCTGTTCATGTTAATTTTCTGATTTGCATAATTAGTTTTCAGCTAAGTAATTTCAAATTATATTTAATGTGTCTCCAATACTCTCAGCACATGGGAGTTCTTTCTAAGCTTTCTTTGATTTTGTTTTGTAATGTCAGTGCAATGTCAGTGTAATGTCAAAAGATTTATGGAACTGTTATTTTGATTTCTTATTAGTAGGAACAATTATTTATAATTATGTCTATCATCTCGAAACTAAATTATTATACAAAATAAAACTTGTATTGTGGGAGGTGAATTGAGTGCCAATTTATTGACACCATATGCCCAACGAGAAAAAGCCTTCATTCAGTCATTGTTAAACTTAGAGAAGTAGGAATGCTACTGTAAAATCTGTATTAGAAACCGCGGCTTCTATTAAAATGGTACAATCCAATAGAGGGGGTGCAGCTTCTATTAGAGCATCTACACATATGAGAAATGATGATTTTTTGGTTCCCAATTGTTTAAAAAGAATGGGTGCGACTTCTATTAGGGATGCGGCTTCTAATACAGATTTTACGGTACAATAAATTCTAAAGTAAGAAAATGGAACTGCTTTAATAACTATTCTATAATAAAGTGAGGATTTCAACCAGTCCACGGTGAACAAGTTGCAAATTCTGACAAACAAGAATATTTCTTGTTTTCTATATTAACTTGTCACAAATAAACCTTAACATAAATTAATTTTGCCATTTTTATTTCCAAAAAATTATGATGAAGAATGATGTCAAGTTAGCACCCCAAAAGATTCATGAAAATGTACTGACATTTTTGAGAAAAAATTCTGACATTCCAGGAGTTGAGATACCATGATTCCTCTAATATGAGTTCAATGTATTTTATTGTAATGCTTAATATAACTTGATATTGTTTATAAATTATGTATTTGAATATTATTATCTAAGTCAATATATTTCATTTACATATTTCATTTATTGGTTATAAATTCTTGACATGTAATATTCAGGTAAAACATTTATAATAATAAATATTAGTGTACGTTATTTTTTGTTAAAGACCTTGTACTTTGAAAAAAAGAAACTCCTAGAAAACGTTCATGAAGTCACAGCAAAGATTTTCAAGCTTGTTTATTGGCACAATCGATTTGTTTTCCCTTCAAACACTGCTTTAACATGTGTAGGGGCATCCAAATGTGTAAGGCTCTTCGAAACCAAAAAAATGAAGGAATGGGATAGCTATAATTCGATAAAATTGGCAGATGAAGACACCAAAATCAATGATTTTTTTCAGTGGCTGTTCTGACACATTCATATGCAAATGACTAATCTTTGAAACAAACAGGGGCGGAGACAAACCACTCAAATGTTTGGAAACACTCATTGTGTGTCAGATAGCTACTGATAACACATCCTAACATTGCTTTGTCTTAAGTTTATCTTTGAAACTTATAGGCACACAGATTAAACCTGTGTTGTTGATTTTGGAAAACACTACTGAGGGTGTGCCTTGCTTCCCTTCAGAAAATCAACATTTTAACCAACTTACATGACATTCTATGTTATGTTGACTTTATCATATGAAAGTATATAGTGCATTTCATCAATTAATAAATAAATGTGAAAATCATGTATGTATGGGTCTCATATAAACAAAGATGGCGACTTTGACTGTTGCGCAGATCAACGAGTACAAACTGAGACATTTCTAAGCTTTAATTAGATAATTTTTAGGTAATTGGAAGGTATCGAAGGAGTCACCAGTGGTAATCAGGGCAAGTTGCGCCAAGGTCAAACCTCATATTTGTGATTTCCATTTGAAGAGCGCATTGGATTGTGGGAAATAAATGTTTATCAACACAAATGTCACACATGTGCATCGCGATGACCACCGTGCTTTAAATGAATCACCAAAATTACAAAATTATACAAAGCCAATGCCTTATTTATAAAGTTCCATTCCAAACTATCATTAAGCTTTAGAGAAGTCCACAAACATGATTGCTCCTGAGTGATTATAGTCCTCACAATAATCGCTATCATCAGAAATAAGTCATATATTAT